CAGGCGACATTGTTTACGATAACAATCTTCTTTGATTGGTGAGTTGTATCTGGACTAGGAAGAACTGTAGAGGATCTACAAATACCTGATGGGGAGCCATTGAAATAGACTTTCCTGAGTACCTTGACTCTTGTAACTGAGAGGTTCCTTGCAGGAAATCTGGAAGCAGTGCCTATGGAATTTTTATAAGAGACATTGGCTTATGAGACTTTTAAACTGGGGTAATTCAGCACCTGTCCTATGCGACTCTCTTTACCTTGAACCTGAGCTACCACCTGGGTGGCCAAAGAGGGCTGTGTGGGCTGCTGCCTAGGCAGCTGAGGACTTCTTCCACAGAAGGGGAACCCCCGATGCTGCTCTTCTGGAAGGATGTATTTATATCCTACATGTATGTCAAGTGTGGCCATCTGAATGTTTAAGTAACCCGAAGAAGTTCCGCTGTACCCCTGATCGGTATTGGCAGATGGGTTTAAGGAATGTCAAAGCATTTTAGCTGTAGTGGAGACATATCAATGGAAGCGTAAAATCTAGAACACAAGAGACAGACTTTAGTCTAATCATGAAAGATTTAAATGTCAGATTGTGGAAAATAGATTGTAATCTAAGTTTTGGAAGCAAGTAGGACCCTGATAGCTTTCGAATAGAGACATAATATGGTTAATTTTTTTCAAATCAGCTTATCAGACAAGTAATATGGTTCATAATATATGTTGGAAGAAAGATCAGAGATTGGTTTAGTGAAAGGTGATGTAGAACCTACCTAGATGGCTGAAGAATTGATAACAGTACTAGCAAGTACTGATAAAAGAGGACTAATTTCTGAAAGACTGAGGGCAGAGCAGTAGCCAGAGACTAGGGGGAGACCGAGCCTGACATCTAGTGGAGAGATCTGATTTTCAGCTATTGCAATTTACCTCATCATTTCCTGTTTCCTGCCTGAACCCCCAGGCATTATTGAACTCAAGTTTAAATTCCTATAATTTGTAAAGGCCACTCAAGATGGTCTGATAAAAAATCCAAGTACATTGAGGTAGTTATTAGAGTAGTAATTTAAAAAAGAAGAAATGTTTGGGCTTTTTTTAAAAAATAAAACATTCATCTTTTCTCCTTGGGACCAAAAAAGAAAAGTGACTTAAACACTGAAAAATAAAGTTGAGAAAATTAATTTTCAGCACTTCTTTTCCTAAATAATATGATGGCATTTTCCATAGGGACTATTATTGGTTATACAAACACAGAAATACACACAAATATTCAACCATTTTTCCACCTTTTATTCCTTCTTGGAATTTCCATTCTCATTTCTTTTATTTCTCTCTTTTTTTAAATCTTATTTCTGTATACATTACACTGTCTGCTTCCCTGTTTTTCTTCTCCACTGACAAGCCTCCCTTTTTCATGCTTGCACTCCTAGTATTCGAATGGTTTAAAACATTAAGACGGTACAATATTCACTTTTCCAAATAAATACATATTTTAAAACTCCTTTAATCTCTGGCTATGAAAGAGCTAAAAAAAATTCTCAAAATACAGAAAATGCCCTTGAAGTGTTAGGAATGATGACACAGTCTTTTCAGGTTTTCAGTAAACATACACCATAAAATGAAAAAGAGCAAAGAAAAACATTCACTTAAAAGTACTATCTTGTTTCTAAATTCCTTGAAGTGTCCCCGGTCTTTTCTTGAATGGTTTTTTTCCTCCTACATCTATATATGTTGGAACAAGTAAAATGTACGTACAAATGTCTTGTGAACTTGAAACACGTTTGGTACTAGAAAAGCACTGAAATTCTTTCTCTCAAATCAACCAGTAGTAAAAATATAAAGCATATTTTTAAACTCATTCTTTCTCAGAAGAAAAAGTCTAATAGGTAAAGGAAATAGAGAGAAGAAATAGAGGTGCATGATATTAACCCAAACAAAGGTAGCTAACTGGTCATAGTCCTAATCATAACCCAAGGGTGAAGGACAGCTTCCTGCCTTTCATTAACAATTTTTTTTTAAAAAGGCATTTATTCTTTCTGTCTCTTTAGGAAATCAACTTATAACAATAACAGCCCATGTGTGTACTTAGACCAGATGCTATTTCACTCAGGTGCTAAAACTATACACTTTGCTAACTGTAAGGTTTTTTCAAAAATAATTCTCATCCAAAATAAAAAGTGGTACAACTCTTTTGCTTTTGAGAACACTCGTTTCTTCCCTAGGGTTAGCAAGCTATAAAGAATCCCGAGGCACAAGTCAAAAAGACTATAAAAAGAGACTTGAAAGTTTCAAAGAAAAAAAAACCCTAAGCACTAAATAAGCTCAAGAAGCTTAACTACTTGAAGTGTCTGAGTCTGAATTTCAGCGTCAACAAGACAGCAGTGGAGGAGTGTTTGAAGATGCGCTGTGTGCTGCCTCCTTTAAATCAAGAGCATCTAAGTGGCCAAATGGGCAAGGGATTTCAGAGTAGTAGGTAAGGAGGAAACTGGAGTGCTACCGGCTTTGTTGTTGTTAATAGAGTTCATTTACAGGGATGATACCACTAGGAGCCTCTACCCCTTGACAACGGTATGAACCTTAGCATGAAACGTAAGCCTCATTATCCTTAAGTGTAAAATGGAGCTTGTATTCGTTTTCTATTGCTGCTGTAAAAAATTACCACAACCTTAGTGGTTTAAAACAACAAAAATGTATTATTTTAAAGTTCTCGAAATCAGAAGTCTGAAACTGGTTTTACTGAGCTAAAATCAAATTGTCAGCAGGACTGCATTCCTTCTGGAAGCTCTAGGGGAGAATCCTTCTGCATTCCTTCTGGAAGGAGAAGCTCTAGGGGAGAATCCATTTCTTTGCCTTTTCTGGCTCCTAGAGGCTGCCTGAATTCCTTGGCTTGTATCCCCCCTCCATCTGCAAAGCCAGCAATGGCCAGTCGAGTCTTTCTCACATCTCGTTCTCGCTGACTCTCCTGCCTCCCTCTTTCACTTTTAAGGACCCCTACGATTATGGTGGGCACCGGGATAATCCAGGATATTCTCCCCATCTCCAGATCACCTGATTAGCTGCCTTAATTCCACCTGTAGCCTCAATTCCTCCTCACCATGTAGCATAACATATTCACAGGTTCCGGGTGTTAGGACATGGACATCATTGGGGGCCATTATTTTGTCCAACATAGACATCGTAAGGTTCTTGTGAAAACTAAATAACAATATAATGTGCAAAATGTGTACGCACTGCCCATAGAAAGCACACAGTAAATATTATGCATATAAAGAAACTTATAGGAAAGGTGGATATGAGTCACTAAATCTAACTTAACTAATCAAATCCAAAGTACACAAGGATGCATATAATGGCTGGATTTTCTTTTTAGGTACTTAACCGAGCAATCCTATTTATGCCCATTGTATTCTGAATCATTCCCATTTATAACACATTCGTAATTCAGTTTCAGTCATTTTATAGATTGAGAGCACCCACCACACATAGGCTTTCATGAGATCACTGTTTCAGCAGTGACAATCAGAGTGTGCTAAGAGACATTGTTAACTTGCTAGAGTTGGCACAAAGACACAGTTATTAAGCAAGCAGGACACGTCTCCCAAGAGAAGTCACAGACATAGAACATCAAGTAGGAACCTCTAAAGAGAGCACTGGGAGCTCCACTGCTTTCCATTATGCTCTATTCAGTTCTGAGATCTAAATTGCTGCTGATTTTTCATCTTTTAATCACTTCACAGAGGTTAAGTGTCCTTGGGAGGCACTACAGAGGGTTGCACATATCTCATCTCATTGATTCGAAATTAATTTGATCTTTTAACTCCCGGCTACTGAGTTTCCTGGGCTGCTAAAAAAAAAAAAAAAATCATCTTACGGTGAATTTTTCTTTTTCACAAATAAAACCTGAACTGTAGAATCTGTAGTTTTTGGCAAAATTACATTTAATGCTTATTTCCACTCGAATAGAAATATAAAACTTTGACCGTATATAAGACTTTTTCACAATAATAAAAAACATACAAAGTAATATATGTAGAAATTAATTTGGTTTAATATAAGGACTTTGTCTGACACTATTCAAGATATAAGTATACGCTTTTAAAGGGTATCAACTGTTGCTCGTGCTACCTTTTTCCCTGGAGACCATGAGTATTAATTTTTAAAAATTTATTTAGAAGAGTTAATTCTCACAGGATGGATGAGTTACCTTCTTCAAATCTACCTAATCAATAATAAAATAATAGAGTTAATGTTTTATTAAAGTTGAAAAAGGTCACAAGTATTACCTTTGTTATCTAATTTTTTAAAAATTTCAACTAACACTGGAACTCATAAATGTTGCTAGTCAGTATTTTGGTGTTCAAATAATAGATCTATGAATTTGATGGTTATAACAAGTGTTTACAGTCTTGAGAAAATGTTATGGGTTTAGACTGACTATGTAAAATAAAAAAATACTGTCAATTGTATAAACTTGAAAATATTAAATTCTATATTTATAATTCCTATAAGTCAAAAACTAGAAAAAATTAAATGAAATAGGAATAAATTTCACAGTCAGAATAATGATAATTATCTTTTTTGCTTCCTTGTAAACTTGAAATGAGAATTCTCCCAGTGAAAATGAAGTATTAATTTATCCCATTAAGGAAAGTAAGACTCTAGGAAGGGACTAGAAGATCTGCCAGAAACGAGGGACCTGATAGTTGGTGGCCATGTAACTTCTCTGAGCTTTTGTCTTCATTCCTCTAAAAGTATTTCAATGTATTCAAAGCTCTAAGAGTTAATAAAGATCCTCATTTTACAAAGGAAAAATCTTTGAGACCTACAGAATTGAAATGAGTTCAAATGGACAAAGCAGGATTTACACATCTATGTTCTTTCCCTTCCAAACACTGTGCATGAGATTCCCAACGTCCCTACCAACCCTGAAATGCTCCACTTTTTATATCTGGGGTAAGTAAGTACCACGGAAAACAGTGACAGGTGAATGAGACCCTCAAAGTATTCCCCACTCACTTGGTATATTGCGGAGCGGAGGCGGAGGCACATTGTTAATAGCTATCATGTGAGACAAAATAGCCACTGGAAGAGAAGACATAGGCATCTTGACGGCTTAACGGTGGCTGTTCAGAGGCTAGTGGAAAAGCAAATGATCGCCCTTTTCCTTGAGGTCATAAATCAGAACCTTCAAGGAAGTCTTTGATAGGTTGAGTCCTATGGAATCTTCTTAGTCACAGATCTTATCCATTGTTTGTGTAATGTTTCCAAGAGTGATGTCTAGACCAGGAAGAACTATGCTGTATCCCAGTCCAGAGATATTCATGAGAGGAACTTTGTGAACTACAGGGTAGGAAGGAAGGGGGAAAAGGTAATATACAAGGTGATATAGTAGAATCAACAGCACTCATTAGTCCAGATTAGATGAAAAGAATTCACTTTATTGGTCCATAGCTCAGAGCCCTTTTCCTGGCTACCAAATGTTTCCATTGGGTATCACAAACTCTTTTTATAGCAGCAACAGGAAAAGGATATTTATACTGCTCTCCATGGCTACAAACATATGGTAAAATATCCCTTCTAATTATCATATACCAATAAACTCACCCCTGCTTACATTTAACTATATTCTGCTGGAGTGTGGTATATGTTTTTGGTTATTTTCTACCACTCCACGATAATTAAGGCTAGTTACAGTGGCTAGGGTTTAGAATCCTAATTAGTGTGTCTTTTAATTCTATGTATCATCTTTCAAGGCCTTTAAAAATATTTTCCTGCTGTCATAACTATAAAAGGTTATATAGAAAAGAATTGTGGCTGTCTGACACCTGAGCCAGACTAGTAGAGTGTTCATCACTTATAGACCAACTTCATCTAGAAAATATTAATAACTGGAATGGAAAATATTCATTATATTACAAAAGTAGCAATTTTTCTTGCAACCATTCCTATTAAATTGTACCTGCACAATAAACTTACTATAGCATAACTTCTCAATTGAATATTTCCTGTCCCCAGTTTTACTAACTCTGGACTCAGCGTAGTCTCAAATTCATTGAATTCTCATCATTGTGCTTCAACTTGTCTTCCTTCTACACTAGCCAGCTACCTTCACCTGTGTGGCTCACATCTCAGAATGGCACATTTTCATTCCGACTGTCCTCCCTTGGTAATCCCTACTGCCTTTATTCCACAGGCTATCCAGATACATTCTCTGCCCATTCTCACATTTAACAGTGAAAGAACCAAGGGCTTGCATTTTTCACGGGTGCTAAGGAAATGGAGCTATGAATGTTGGGTTTTTTCTGACAAACAATTTTGATCAAACAAAGATAAAAAAGGATGTTTTTCTAAGACCCTAAGTTTATACTGATCAATTTCCTCTCTGATTCCAATTGTGTCAGTTCTTTTATTTGTATTATTTTCTAGTTATTTTCCCTTCTTTTCTATATTTTCACCTTTTCTTTTCTCTTTTCTGTATTTATATAATGAACTTTATACACTAAAAGCTACATAATATCATAGTAATTTCACATCAAACTGGACCTTGCTTGAAAAAAATCTGAAAAAAAAGAAAATATGAGTAGTGACAATGCAAGTACACAAAAACATTAAGAAGGAAACAGAAAAATAAATAACTATATAGCTTACTTAATGTTATCCAAGTCTATGTAATATGATTTTGTATGAGCATCTGCTAATATCTGCTGGTATATGCCCAGAGAAAATCCATCAAATCACAAAATTGGCCCCCCTCAAATGTTTTGGATTAGTCCTTCCAATGTATTCTAAATCCTTTGAAAATTCATTCCAAGAACAATGACATAATCACATGATTTTTCTCTGAGAGACAGATGTATTAAATTGTTTAATTGTCAAGGCCTGGACATTACTCATAAGTCTGATTGTTTCTCAGCCACTTATTTGTAAAATTATGTTGGGGAGGTCACTTAATCTGCCTTGATCTCTATGTCCTAATCTATATAATAGTGGAAATGATAACACCTCATACAAATGCTATGAAGATTAAAGTAATGAAAATAAAGGTTCTAGCGCAGTGCCTGCATATAGTAATGATTCAACTTCCAATTTTAGTAGTAATGATATTATTATTGCTGAAATAAACTTTGAGAAATTCACATGGATTAATTTTTTAAATACTTTAAATATTTTTTAAATGTACTCTTCACATGGGTTTCATCTATTCCTGCTACACAGTTGATAGTAGTATATTACAGGTACATTGGTCAAGATGTACCTTAAGTATTCATCAAGTATCGTAGAAACCAATAATAATAACCAAATTTATCATGATAATTTTCTATACACTATTAACACTTCTAAATAAGTTACTTCCAGAAGGAAGATTGCTTCAATTAAAATTAAATCAATTCAATACACATATTCATTTTTTAAAATATAATCGTCAAAATATTTATATAAATTAAAACTGGTTAGACATAAAACTCATTTGTATAAAATAAAATATTTCATATAACATCAACCAATCTGTCCTTTGACAGGATAGTGTATAGACTACATTTTCTCATGCTCATAAGAACCACAAAAAAAGTAAATTTTATATATCACATATACATATTCACACGAATGGTTAAAAATAATACCTAAGTTAACCAAAATTCATATAATCTGTATGAAATCATACCCTGATTAATAAAGTACAATATTTATTTATTTATAAATACACATGTGTAAATGTATGGAAATGAAAATAATATGGTAACTTGCACTTAGTTCAATTTTTATCAAACTTGCTAATAGAAAATGAACACCCAGTGCAAAAATTTTGTCATTATCATCTGACTTTAACAAAATTTATTTGTTTCATTTATTCTAAATTGCTGAGTATAATGTTTATTTCCTTCAAAGTGGTAAGCTTCATTTGACATTGATTTATAAGCAATTTAAACTCTAATTCATCAATACATTATAAAAAAAGATAAGTCTATTTTCTGGGCCCAATCGACAATAATATATTGGTGTACACATATTTGAATATGTATCTACCTATAATGTATAATAATATACTGTCTATAATCAAAAAATCTTGGTTTTGATTTGTGTGAGATTTTTACACAAAAAAAATCACCATATGGACCTAAGCAACAGTGTGTTATACTCATGTATGAATATTCAAGCACTTGCCACAAATACACAGTACACATGCTTTAAATTCATACTGAATTTTAAACCACACCAAAAAATGATCTTCTATTTGAATGAGTTATTTATTTACCTGGAGGAAGGTACCAAATTTTTCAATATGCAAAATGCAAATAATTAATTGCATTTGTATATTGTTGCTCTCCAGTTAACTTAAGATAGCTTTTCCACAGCTGCCATAATCACTGCACCTGTGATCTAAGCCCTATTCTAAGTGTTTCATTATGGTATAATATATTTTTAACTTTATTTATTAGGAAAGATATGTCAAATTAGGATAAACTTGCATAATTTCAGTGGGGATTTCAAAAGGTTAACCAAAACAATTTCCCTGTTGGTCCAGAAATTCACAAGAGTAACATGTTATACCCAAATAGTCCTATTGGACTAATGTTAATCAGACACATTTCTGATGCTTTTGTAATCCCTTAGATCAGGTAGGTAACTCTTAAATAGCAAAACCTAGAGAGGCAACAAGCAAAAGTTTGAACAACACATGGAAAATAGCTCCTGAGCTCTGGCAAATAGACTCTTATGAGACATATTCCAAAAGATGTTGTAGGATTCCAAAACCATAGAAATCCATAAAACTATCTCACAATAGAATCATAAGTATGGAGTAAGGTAAACTAAAGTCATTATAGGACCTGCAGGAACAAAATAGTTGAATAGATGGACAAAGTGGAAGCTTTTAGTTTGCTGAGGTTGCACACACAGCAGTTTTAGTTTCAAAGTGGGGTAGAGAAGTTGAGATATTTTTGAGAAATAGTATAGGAAACAGGTCAGCCTGGAGGGTGAGAAAAGAGTATTTTCTTCATAGTCAAATTTATCAATCTTTTCTTTTATTGCTTCTGATTTCTATTACATACTTAGAAAATCCTCTTCCTCTCATTACAAGATTACAAAAGCCCTCATTACAAATTCTCATTTGCCTAGCACTTTCGTCTTTATTTTTAGCACTTCGTGTTTATTTTCTGAGACACAGTGTCTCAGAATTAAGGATCCACTTTTGAATTTGCTAATGGCTTGTGCAATTTCAAATTTTCAGCTATTTTCCATAATAACCTTGAAGATAGATATTATAATCCCATTTTATAGATGAGAAAAATGATGCTCTAAAAATTAAAATTATACAGTTGGGATACAGTAAAACCAGAATTTGAATCCAAGTTTGCCTTGTTTACATTGATTTCTTTGCCTAAAAATGATCAATTGTCTTTAAAAGAAATCACGTGTCCTGCATCATAATATAGACATTCTCCTCTGAATGGAAATTACATTCAGAAGATAGTGATCTAGTCTTCCCAGTAAGGAATTTATGAGGAGGACCAGAGATGCATTAATTCATTTATCTGCATTTGCAAGAATCCAGGTTAAGCGGATGGGAAAAAATTTTCTAAGTATGTCTAACCATGGAAAGATTTATATATACACAGGGAGGTAGACAGTGAGGTGGTACCTGCCCTGGATCTTATGGAGGGATCATCCAGGCTGTTTCAGAACTGAAACCCTGGGACTGAGTGGTACATAAATTGAAAAAGACAAGGTGAAGAAAGGAAGCCCGATTCAGAGGCAGTTAGAATTGCTCAGGGAAGTGATGATGAGGTCTGAACTAGGAGAGAGTCGTAGGGAAGGAAAAGAGAGAATGGTTGGTGTACAGTGGAAGCTGGGGGGAAGGACGTGTTACAGAATTCCTAGGATTCTACATCTTGTGTTAGGGTAGATGCAGCTACACTAAGCAAAATAGAGACCAAAAGATATGATGATGATGATGATGATGGTAAGAATATGGACAATATTTATTGGGCATTCAGTCCACACATATTTATCCCTCAAAACCCTATAAGGTAGGTAAAAGTCATTAGTCCTATTTTATAGATAAGAAAACTAAGGTACATAGAATTAATTAACTTGAAAAGATTC